GCTAGTTAACTAGTGATTTCATATTTAGTTTTTATTTTTTATTTTTTAGGGGAAAATTTTTTAAATGATTATTTTTTAGAGGTAAATATTTTTTTTAAACTTTTTGTTGTGTACAAGGGATATTTTTTATGTACTTGGCGTACTTTTTTTATCTTTGTGGGGTTTTTTTTTATATCACTGCTTTTTGTAAAAACTTAATATTTAAATTTTTTTTGCAAAATACAAAATATTACTTTATATACATGGATGTGGTTTTTTAAAAAAATTTATTCAATAGGAAGGAAATTCTTTTTTAGAAGAAATTATACACGTATAAATAATATATATTTACAAAGCTATACCATATTGAATTTCAGCGGACACAATCACAACGTATCTTATATAATGCTCAATCTCTTATTATCAATCACTTAACAGATTTTAAAATACGATATAATTTTATTTTTATAGCTATAATTTTCATACACAAAAGTTAAACTGTATACAAACTATATAATCAATAATAATAATAATATAAATTGTGTAAGTGAATAAATATCAAAATATAGAAAGCAATAGAAAGAAAATTCTTTTACAAAGCGGATGGATTTGTTTCATATTCATATATTTAACATGAATATGAAACAAATCTATTCATTGAATAAACGTATACGCATAAACAGTATATAATTCCTTCTAAAATATATTCTAATTTAAATGATATAAACAGAAGAGATCAAATATTTTTTTTGCATTTATTGATTTATTAAATATGCTTATATATTGTGAAATAGTACAATACAAGAAGAAAAGTGATAAAGTGATTAACGGTTATTAAGAGTATCGCGGAATAGTGCAAGGAAGAGAAGTGATTTCTTCTAATCGATCATATTGAGCTAAGTTAGATTGTATTAGCAAAACTGAGCGAATGCTTACACTTGAGTGAATCACTTACCAATTAACATATTTGTGATAAATACATTGTTGGAAAATGATTATGAAAGCATCAAAGGAATATTTGGAGATTTTTATTAGCCATGTTTTCAATAACGGTAAACTGGAATACGCGTGAACGCGCATTCATGTATAATGTTTATTTATATTTTATATATACCCAGTTAGCCAAGTCTGTTCTAACAGATTTTGGCAAGGCCTGCTACAAATTATTGTCAGCAAAAAGGCTACGAATTGGGTACAAAAGTTGTTATTACCGATTACCTCGATTTGTTGCGTCAATCTGTTGTCGCACTGCTAGTGACAGATCTGCTTTGGTGTTGTACCCAATTTGACATCAGGATATGATCTCAACTTTTGGTTGCAATTGGGACGCACTCGAGGACACAGTAGGCCCTGAATTTGGCAGCCTCGTTCCACAGGGAATTGTTTGCCGTTTGTTAACAATCCGCAAGCAAATGGTTAGCTGGGTAAATGTAATTAATGCATAAATAATATTATTAGATTAACTTACAAATGGCTAAGCAATGAATGTTAATATAGCAAAATAAATCTTGTGGGAATTCTACCAAAAATATCATAAAACAACATTGACTACACATTTTTATTAATTGACTTCATATAAAATAATGAAATAATAAAATTATATCAAAGCACTTCTATAGTGTCCACAAACATTTTGTGTATTTTTGAAATTACTCGCAATTTCTGGTTCTGGAAATGTGAATGTTTATTTGTATATTTTATATATAAATGTAATTAATGTGTAATTAATATATTTAGATCACTTACAAATGGCAAAGCAATAAATTCCCTATAAGCACACAATATTCCTAGAATATTATATGAATATTATTAAAAATTAAAATAATATAATTATAATATTCCGAAAATATTATATAATATTTTTTAATATCATGGGATTATTCTGTTGATGTTATATGTCTACTTCACATAATATCTTTCATATATTATTTTAATATCAGTGGAATATTATGAAAATGTTCTTAGAATATTATTCTGGTCAACAATTTGAGGTTCATATAATGTTCCTGAGATATCATTATAAAATATTCTATAATATTATTAGAATGTTCTCCGAATATTTTTCAAATGTACCCAGTGAGCATTATTGAGAGGATGAGCTCTTTAAGAGGACTTTTTAAAGACTTAATTAAATTTTCTTAGAAATGATATGATTACAATAAATAATAATATGCTATTAAATAAATATTCCAATATTTTTATTTGAATACTAATATGCAAATTTTATAAACACACACACACACACACACACACACACACACACACACACACACACACAC